TGAGCAAGAACAACCATGTTACATCCAACCACTGAAAGAAGTGCGTGATGAAGAAGATAATGAGAAGCGTACCCCATTACGCCTTTGCTTTTTCGACGCAGAGACAAGTCAAGATGAGCCCATGCATATTAGCAACAACATCAATGGATTCAAACATGTGCCTTTACTAATAATTGCAGAGGTAATCTCTCTTAATAAATAATATCTTACATTTTTTTCAGGTCATCTGCGAAAAGTGCATACTTGCTGGTATTGGAGTTGAAAATATTGGGCAGCGAGCAGAAGGCTGCTTTTGCGGAAAACCGTGCAATGATCAATGGCGTCGCTGGTGTTCACCTCCCTTCAGAAATTCTCAAGGCGACAACACAGCACCGCCTGACAACATTGCATACAATCCCCGTCGTATGTACTTCCATTCATTCGACGACAACGATCAGCAAAGCCCCGTAGACCATTTTCTTGACTATTTACAACAACACGGTCCAAAAAATATTCTCACAATTTGCATCGCCCACAACGGGGTTAAGTATGATTTTCATCTTTTGTTGGAGGCCCTTCACCATCGCAGCATACCTCCAAAACGACTCTGCACCACCGGGCTTAAAATCTATTCAATACGTTTGGGTGGTAGGAATCAAAGAAAGGTCCTTTTCAAAGACTCGCTTAACTACTTCTTCTGCGAACTTGATGCCCTCACCAAAGTATTCTCACTACCAGAAAATGTGGCTACCATTAAGCCATTCTTTCCTTATCTATACGTGAAACGACAACATCTACACGAGCGAATAAGAGGAGTCCCTCCATTGGAATACTACCAGCCTGACTACAAAAAGGCCGAGAAGAGAACAAAGCTTTTGGAATGGCATCAACAACAATTGAACAACCCAGCTACGCATTTCCAACTACGTGAACAGCTAATCATCTACTGTGTAAACGACGTGGCCATTCTTCGTGAAAGTGTTTTCCGTTTTAGACATCTAATCGGAGAACACACTCAGCAGCTTGACCCGTTCATAGCTGCCTCAACAGCGGCAGGCCTCGCTCTAACAACATTACGCCGATGTTTCTTGCCGGAGAATTGGCTTGTTCATTCACCAGAAGGAGGTTATTTGCGTGGAAGAAGGGCATCAGCAGAGTCACAGCGCTACATCCAGCTGTTTGAGAATGAAAACCCAGAGGCTGCAGGAAAAGTGCAATGTGCTCAGTGGGCAATTGGTGAAGCTCATGTGGAGGATACTGGTTACCGACTTGATGGACTTTGGTATAGATCGCCTCCACTTCGACCATTAGCCATCGAATACATGGGTTGTTAATACGGTATTTTTTATTCTTTTTCTACTCAAGCATTATCAAATTTAGGTTGTCCAATTTGCTTCCCTGTTCGCAGTCAACGCCTGGCCGCTGGAAAAACTGCTGAAGAGCTGTATGAAAGGACACAACAACGTCTATGGGAGCTGGAATATCAACACGGGTACGCTCTTCATGTAGTCTGGGGACATGAGATGAAGGAAAGACTGAATGGAAATCGCGAGCTGAAGCGACAATGGTGGGAAATTGAATATGTGAGGCCGATGGATCCAAGGGAAGACTGCTTAAGAGGTGGACGAACTGAGCCTTTTAAGCTCCATCACGTCTGTGGGAATGACGAGGAGATTCTCTACATTGACATTGTCATTTTCTTTAATCAAACAATATTATTTTAGAATTATAGGTGAGTCTCTACCCATACGTGATGAAGGCACGCGAGTTTCCGATTGGCCATCCAACAGTTCTGACGAGAGAGACGCTAAACAACAATTTGCCTTGGACTCGTCCTAACAGCAATTCTTACAAAGGACTTTTGCTGGTCAGAGTGCTTCCGCCACCATCTATACGAGGACTTCTACCCCCATTACTTGGCTACCGCACACATGACGGGCGTTTAACGTTCCCTCTATGTGCTGCGTGTGCAGACGACAGGCAACAACATCAATGCCATCATTCGGAAAAGCAACGTTCATGGGTGAGCGGGTATACTCACGTGGAATTGAACAAGGCATTGGAGCTGGGATATAAAGTAGTGGACGTCCATGAGGTTTTTTACAAATTTTTTCCAACTAATGAAAAATAGGTTTGGCACTATGAACGTTGGGACACTGATTTGTTCAAAGGATACGTCAACACTTTTGTGGAGCTTAAGCAGCAAGCTAGTGGTTGGCCGCAAGGATGTGAGACATTGGAGCAAAAACAACGCTATTTGGCTGAATTTGAACAAGTAGAAGGAATTCGCCTGGAGATGGCCAAAGTGGAGTTAAACCCAGGCCTCAGAATGATTGCGGTATTTTTTTTTTAGTAATTTCCAAATATTTTTAAATTTTAGAAAATTTTGGCCAACTCACTTTGGGGAAAGCTGGCTCAGCGTGTTGGTGGAACTGAAATTCGATATGCTCGAACTCCCGCAGAATTCCATCAGCTGTTGGAGGACCCGACGCTCGACACTCTAGACTTTGCCCATGTTAGTGAGGAAATGGACAGATGTGTGGTAAGAAAAAAGGCTGAGTTTGCAAAGGCTCCAGAGACAAACTGCTTACCCGTCGCAGCATTTGTAACATCATATGCTAGACTACATTTATACGGGTATATGCAACAAGTAAACAACATTGGTGGCCAGCTCTTGTACTGCGACACCGATTCGCTCATCTATGTTGCAAGGCAAGGAGGGGACAGAGTGGTGGAAGGCGAGGCACTTGGGCAAATGAAGAGAGAAATTCCAACACGTCGAATAGTGGAGTTTGTTGCTGGTGGGCCAAAGAACTACGGCTATCGTCACGTGGATGCGGCTACGGGAGGTGATGAAAGGGCTGAGCTGAAGATCCGCTCATTCCTTCTCTCCTATGCCACACACCAACTTCTCAATTTCCATTCAATGAAACAGCTTGTACTCGATCAATTCAACATTGATGGGGAAATGTATGTTTTTAAAAATTTTTCATTAATCATTCTCTAATTAGTGACGAAGTGCTTGCTGATGGTGTGATTGGAGTGGACTTTCCGCAGATTGGGCGTACAAGACTGTCTGAACTCTACACTCATATGGCGCACAAAGACTATAGGCCTTGTTATCAGAAGGGAAGAATTTTGCCTGGCATGGAGACTCTACCATTCGGCTATAGAGAAGAGGTAATTAAAGGAGAAATACCGAAAAACAATTTTCTATTATAGCTTGACGAAGTTCAAGAGGATTTTGAAGCATTGCCTGGAGGCTCAGAATGGACTAGAGATGATTATTTGGCAAGATATTCATAGATATTATTTTTATTGTTCTCATACATTTAACTATTATTTTTATTGTTCTCATACATTTAACTGTCTAGTAAATCTTATGAAATTTATTTACGTGTATATTTTACAAATAGGGGTAAAAGCAAATTTTCAAATATCTCTTTCATTTCTTCTTGCGTTTTTATTCCGGTCAATATCACACGTCCTGAGATGTAGCAGAGACAAGAAGCTTCTTTAAGTTTAAATCTAAGTGCTGGAAAAATTGAAGGATCGTAAAACACTTGACGAAAATTATTATTGTTGTTTCTATGTTGTCTGTAAAGTTGCTCAATTGCCAAACGTTGTGGGTGGCGATAGACACCCACAATATTGGTGACTCGCAAATTTCTAAGCCGATTGAAGAATTGTCGTTCACAGCGGCCTTGTTAGAGGCTAAAATTCTTTTTGTAACTTTCCAAGCCAATTTCCTTGCTAACTCAGGGTTGGGAATACCAGTAAGGACCACTTTAGAAGATTGAAATATGAGTGCAGCAGTAGTCCTATTTTCTTTTAATCGAATGCGCATAATTATTGAATGGAATCTCTTTGGATTATACTCTGTATTTATTCCATATCTAGCTAGTTGGATGAAATTTTCATGGGAAAACCTTAATTTCCTAGGCAAGAGCTTGAATACAGCTGTACAATTTTCTATGTTCATAATATTTACTTGACAAAACAATTTAACAATTGAAAAATATTTTAAAAATCAAAAACATTTTTTCATCTTATTCTCAGTTGCAGAAAGAACTTCCAACGGGTAGTAAGAACGGTGACGGCCTCCTCCAAATTCAATGATACAAGGCAAATAAGGATGCTCCAGTTTGACTTTGTGTTTGATGTAGTAGTATCCACGGACCTGAATATAAAATTTTTTGAAATAGTTTTATAAATATTTACCGTTATGCTCAAATATCCACCCATAGCATGTACCACACTTGCCGATCGAACAGTCAGATCATTGCAGTGAACAATAAAGTTTTTGCAGCAAGGTTTGAGATGACAAGTACGTAGTTCAACATTTCGGCGCAGATGATTAATTATTTCCCGACGCTCCTCAAGATTATGGAAGAGAACATGAAGTTCTTTCAGAGAGCAATTCTTCAAATTGCACAAATATTCAATTAGCGGTACAGATTCCGGTGGAGGAGGTGGAGTAGGTTCACAAAATGGATTTTCGACAGTCCAGTCCAAAGGTTCGTCGATAGTTATACGAAGTAGCTTCTCACTCATGTCGAGAATCGCCTCGTCAATATCTTCCTCTTCCTTTTCTTCTTTGATCTTTACTTCAACAGGAACACCAAATGCGGGTGTAGGGGGCTGCAATTAAAATTAATTGGACTTTGAAATAAAAATAGTACCTTTTGCTCCGATTCTTCCTTAATCTTTTCTTCCCCAAGTGCTGGTGTAGGTGGCTGAAAATTAAAAATAGTCGGATTTGAAATAAAAAATAAACCTCCGGTTCTTCCTCAGCAATGACTGATTCCGGCTGGGCTGGCTCGGCCGGCAAAGGCTTCGGAATAAATGGCACCCCATCTTCCACACCCCAAAGCATAAGCGTGAGAAATTCCATAGTTCTGAATAGAAATTACATTTTTTGGATCTATATATACTAGTAAAATGATTGAATTGTACCTTTTAAAATGAACGGATTTGAACACGTTGATTTTATTCACACACTGTTTAAGCACCCTTTCACGATGATTGTGTCAGGAAGTACAGGATCTGGTAAATCAGAATGGGTAAAAAAGCTTTTGAATAATCTAAAAGAAATGACAAATGAAAAAATTTCAATGATTCTTTATTGTTATGGGGAGTTGAATTCAAATATATTACAAATGCAGCGTAAAGGTTCGGTGGGAGATATAGGTGTTACTGTTCATTCTGGAATGCCGAGCGAAGATTTTATTGAAAGGCAGGCCAATGGACTGTTACTTATACTTGACGATTTAATGGTTGGAATTGATCAAACTATATTGGAAACAATATTCACAAGGGGGTCCCATAACTGGAAAATGAGTGTTATACTGTTAACGCAACATTTATTTTGCAAAGAATTAAGAATCCCGCGTAATAATTCACATTATTTGGTCTTAATGAGGAATCCCGCTGGCTCTCTACAGATTAAAAACCTTGCTACCCAATTATTCCCCTCGCGGTCAAAATATTTTTTAGAATCATATGCCGACGCGACAAAGGAAATGTTCGGTTATCTATTAGTTGATCTTCACCCAAGTACCCCAGAAAAGCTTCGTCTCAGGACACATATATACAATGAAAGGGAAACAATAGTTTATGTTCCAAAATGACAAAAACTAGCGAATTAATAGAAAGGAATGCTGATTTTTTGCATTCCGCAAATACAAATTCAAAAAAAGTATTGCGAAATCTTTTGGAAAAAGCAACTGATGAACAATTATTATGTTTTGTTGAAATTTGTTTAAATTTGCTAAGGGGGCGTCTCCCTTTTCATAAAAACAGGATAAATACTCTTCAAAGAAATGCATGTATTTTACGTAAAATTAGTCGGTCTCGGACCGCCCCCACAACAAGAAATTTGTTACAACAGGGAAAAGGTATACCTCCTTTGGCTGGACTTATAGCAAGTCTAGTTATCCCGTTAATTGTTGAAAAAATAAATAATATAAATATGAAAAAATAATAGAAAAATGGAAAAAAATGCAGCGAATGTTTCTTATTCCTGAAGATTTTTACAATTCCCTTTTAGAGAAAAATGAACAAGGGGATGGTACTGCTATTGGCTTAATCAAAAATCGCTTGCAAGATGCTGTTGCCAATAATGAGAGAATGGATCCCGATTCTCAAGCAATTAATTATGAGCAGAATTTGAAGAGATTTAATAAACTTATAAAAGAAAAGGAGGAAAAACCGATAAATGTAAATGTAAAAAATTTTTCTGAAAATTTAGGAGTAAACAATTCTAGAATAGTCCTGAGAAAAAGGGTAAAGAGAAAAATTGGAAAGAAAAGGCACCTTCCAATTAAGAGTGAGGAGGAAGTGGAAGAGGAAGGGGCGGGGCTTTTGAAGAAGAAGAAGAATACCAGTCAGCTGAAAGTTATGGTGATCCAAAAGATCAAGCAATGGAATATTTAAAAGAAAATGCAGATATTCTAGGCATTTTGGAAGATGGAAGACTTGCAAGAAAAATTGGTAACGATTATCCATTAATTACAAGTAATGTTGAGGAAATTGTAAATCATATAATTAGAAATAAAGGCATGCGTACAAAGAAATTGCCTACAGGTTACGACGAATTTATTAAAAGAATAAACGATCATCCTATTTTACAACAACTTCTTTTCCCAGAATCTAAGCAAAAAGGTTCTGGTGTATTCTGTTTTAAGCCGTCGTTATGGACAAGACCAAGTTTTTAAATAAATTGTACAAAAATGTAGCATCCCCTACTTGTTTCACCTCTATTGAACCTCTTTTGCGAGAAGCTAAACGCTGTAACAAAAGCATCGCAAGACAAGATGTTAAAAACTATCTTGCAGGGCAAAATGTCTATACCCTCCATAGGAGGGTTGTGAGAAAATTCAAGAGAATGCCAACACTTGCCCCAGGTTTGCATACTGAATGGCAGGTTGATTTGAGTGTTTTTAATCGTATAAGCAGCAAGAATAGAGGGTTTAACTATCTCTTAGTCTGTATAGATACACTTAGCCGCCAAATATTTGTTGAACCTGTCAAAAGTAAACATAGCGGGAGTATGATTAATGCATTTAAAAAGCTATTTGCTCGAGTAAAAATTGTTCCTTGGAAACTTTTGACTGATCAAGGACTAGAATTTACTGCAAGCCCAGTACAAAAATATTTCGAGTCATTAAATATGGAACACTTCTCTATGATTACTTCTCCTATATAGCATGCAGGAATGGCCGAACGAGCCAATCGTAGCATTAAAGAGCGATTATACCGTTATTTTACGGAGAACAAAACATTAAAATGGGTGGATGTTATTCAGGAGATTGTTAATTCTATAAACAATTCCTTCAATTCAAGTATTGGGATGCGTCCTATAGATGTTAATTATGAGAATGCTGAATCATTGCGACAATCTCTAAAAGAAAAGGCAGTTGAGCAACATGGACCGACACGCTGGAAAACAAGTAGGTTTAATGTAGGCGACCCTGTAAGAGTGGAAAAGAATAAGCAAGTGTTTAAAAAGGGATATTTGCCAAACTTTACAAATGAAATTTTTATTATTGCTAAAGTCCGATTGGTTCCACATCAGCCTCCCACCTATAGAATTCGTGATAGGGAAGGAGCCTCAATTCGTGGTTGGTTTTATGGTAATGATTTAGTTCTAGTCAGAAAAAAATTAAAAGAAAGTATCTATATTGTGGAAAAGGTTTTGGATAAGCGAAGACATAATAGAGAGGATCAGATATTTGTAAAATTCAAAGGATACGGTATCGAACATAATAGATGGATTCCTGCTAGTGCAATAACCTGGAAATGATATACATATTATGTCATTTTTGCCAATTTTGTTAAAATGACTTCTTTCTATATTATTCTCCCTTCAAACACAAATGTTGATGGAAACAGGACAAACGCTTTTAGAGTCCGCCTCCCTCGTAAGCTACAATTTAATTCGGAGTGGTACGTTGGCTTGACTGTTATGGTCTATCCTCACTCATGGCCTTCAATAGGGACTAGTACTGATCAATTTGTGACTGTAACTTGGCAAAGTGGTGAGGTTGTCCGAGTAGCTGTTCCCTCTGGCAATTTAACTAATCCCCAACAACTCAAGGAAAGCTTGGATAGATCTTTAAGCGAAGGGTGTGAAACGTTTGCTGAAAATTTACTGGTTACTGAAATTGAATACAAGAAAAGAATAAAAGAGCTCAAAACAAAATCAAAAGAAGTGTATAATAGACAAAAAGAGGAGAAGAGAATAGAATTAAATGCAACTGAAATACAAGAAGATGATCTCAAGTCAGAGAATGAAATTTATGAGGATATGTTAAGTGATTTTAACTCGAGTCTTGATGAAAATACTAAAAAATTATTATCTTTAACTAAAGAAACTGGGTTTGAACCTTGGCTTCAAGTTTATCGTAAACCAGGAATTGCTTGTGCCTTTGATTTTCATTCGTATAAAAATCGTTTTTCTCTATTTGTAGGTAGAAAATATGTAAAGAAAGTTGAGATTACAGAACAATTAGCTTATATTCTAGGATTTGACAAAACTGTATTGAATGAATCAACTCTTGCAAAATTCATGCCAGATATGAGTGGAGGTGTCTCTTGCTTTCATGTTTATGCCCCAGGATTAATTGAACCAATGGTGATTGGTGATGTTACAGCTCCTGTACTTCGTATTGTGACAATTCGAGGCAAGCAGGATGAAATTATTGAGGAACAATTTCTTTCTGTACAGTACCATAAATTACTTGTAAAAGAAATTGCTGAAATACTCATTGAAATACGCACGGCCGGTGGGGTACTTATGCCATTTCAATACGGAACTTGTACATTAACTCTCCACTTTAAAAAATCTGCTTATTTCTAATGAATACGATACAAATTGACAAAATACTGAGAAGGAACGCTATTACAAAAAGGTTTTATATTGGCTGTTTTGCATCTGATAGGATTCCTCTTACAATATCTAATTTTCCCTATTGTATGGTTGTTAATACTGACCCTTCAATGCTCCCAGGCTCTCATTGGATAGCTATATTTTGCTCCTCTCCTTCTAATGCTGATTACTTTGATTCGCTAGGATTCTGGCCTCCATTTAGTTTTTACATTAAGAAATATTTGTCAAATTTTACAAAGGTTTCCTATAATAGTATTCAAATACAGCAGCCAATGGGGCACACTTGTGGTAAATACGCAATATTTTTCTTGTTTATGCGTTGTTCAGGTTTTTCTATGGAAAAATTATTTTATTATTAAGCAAAGTAAATGCTGATAGATTTGTCTCGCAGTTTATTGCTACTAAAGCTTTTAATATAAATAATTGAAAGAGTAAATTTTGTACATTACAATGCATATTGACTTTAATCCTCTTTATGTTGATTGGTCATCGTTGACCGAATCTCATGACTAGAGCCCGGATTTTTATGCAAATGCATATTTTTTTTGCAAACTTTTCATGATGTGTTATGCACAAAAAACACTGTTTCCGCAAGTTTTGAAAACTTTAGAGGGGGTTTCTATTTGCATATAATGCATATTTTTGCATATTTCGGACTTTGTTGCATAATGCATATTTTACTGCATATTTTGAGGTCTTTGGGGAAAATATTGCGAAAATTGCCTAAAATCCTGCCAAAAAGTGAAAATTTAGTAAAAATTTAGGAAAAAATTTGTAAAAATTACAAATTTTGTAAAAAATTTTTTGTGTTTATTGGTTTCGCCAGAAAATGGCCCACCCCCATAATGTCTCAGCCCCAAAACGTCGCACCCCAAGATGTCCCACCACCAAAATGCCTCATCTCAAAATGCCCAACACCGTAAAAATGCTCAATTTGTCGAACTATACATTTAAAATAGGAGAAATCTTAATAAAAAAATGTATTTTAAATCATTTTGACTAAAAATATGCGAAATTTTTAGGTATAAATGGTATTTTTCATGCATATATGCGTGTATATTTTGGTTTACTTGCATATTTTTGTGCATATTTCGGCAATTTTTTATGCATATTATAGTGCATATTTTGCATTTTTTAATGCATAAAAATCCGGGCTCTACTCATGACCAATGGGGTGGTTATAACGTTTTTCGTGGAGTTCCTTTCCAAAGAGGTAGCGGTTTAGGATCCGTTTTTCGAAGTTTGCTGAGGTATTTGATTCCAATCGGAAAAGAAATTGGCACAGCCATTGGTCGCCAAGGGTTGGAATCAGGCAATCGTGTCTTGAGTAATGTATTGGAAGGGAAGGACCTTAAAGAATCTCTTGTAAATGAGGGTAAATCTGGACTGAAGAATTTATTAGAAAAAGCAGCTAATAATATTGAGAAACAAAATGGAAATGGTTTTGAATTCAAAAGACAAAAGGAAACTCGTCCCAAAACAATTGGGCAGATGAATACCGAAAATATAAATAAGACTTGTTATTCCAAGATTGGCCCACCAAACTTTATTCCTAAGTTTTCAAAAAGGAAAATATCTCGTCCAAAGAAACGTTTACGCATAGACGCATTAGGACCATATTAAAATGAGTTGTTCCAAGAAGATCAATGAGAACAGCCCACTAGCTCTCAACAGTGCTTTAAGCATTTTTACCGTTCCTCCCACAAATGTTTCTGTTATTCGTTCCTTCTTTCGTGAAAT